GGCGCTAGAGCAGGCTGGAAGCCACTCCGGGGTTATCCCAGGAGGGCTTCCAGAGTGACACAAGTTCTTTTTTCCCCCCACGTTGGGAGGGGAACCAGCCGAGATGCTGGGTGTGCAGCGCAGCAGAAGGTCACAGGCAGGACAGCCCTGCCAGCCCCACCTGCCGGAGGGCTGTTCCCTGGCCTCTTTGCCAGGAACCTGCTTACAATTCCCCACACAGCTGGAAATTGTTCAGGGCTGGATAGAATTAGCACACGGGCACAGAGCTACCATATGTTCAGCGCTCTTCAGACTCAACCTGTTTTTCTGCCTGGAAATTGAATGCAGATGGGGATCTCAGCTATCTGGGCATGTCCCAGGTTCCCGGACAAATGACCACTGCGCGCGAGCGTCTCACCACTGATCCTGGGGGAGCATCAGGCACACTGGTRTCTGGGAAATCCCAGACAGAAATATGGGAACTGTGCGTGAGCCGCCTGTTGAACCACTCTGCTTCAGCCTTTCTGAGGAGAGGGAGAGAGAAAAACAGCAGAGAGAAGCCGGGTAAGTGTTGTCTTTTGTCAAAGAAACACAGGCTTGTGGATCCTTCTCCACTACTGAAAGGTCACCTGAGACACCGGGGACGTGGGTGGCATTACTCGAGTCCTGGCACAGGCAAGTGCAGCAATTACGGATAATTCTAGCCCCAATGTACACAGCCATGCGGTTTGCTAGCTCTGGGTTCCCTTTCTGCAGCTCAGACAGGAGCAGGAGAGCTGTCCGAGTCAGCCAAGGGGCAGAAAAACATCACTTCCAGCAACGCTGCGTGATCAAGGGGACCCTTGAGGAGAGGAAAAGGTCAAGAATTCCCCTGTCCCCGTCCTGGCTCTCGCTGCAACTGTGGCAAATTAGCTCCTCCGTCCTCAGCTCGGAGGTGGAGATACTGCTCACCCACCGCACGGGACAGTAGAGGGACTAATTGCTGGGGACAATTAAAAGACTCAGAATTTATGACATCAAGAAATTAAACAGGGAACGAAGCAAGGCTCCACAAGTGTCCCTGATCTTTGACATCTGGAGCCTCTGGCCCACTGAGATCTTAACAGCAGCAGTGTTTAGTCTGACGTCTAGACTTCCCCTATCCATATCCAACGTGGGCAGAAGCTGCAGCTCTGGAGACTGGGAGCCTTGTGGTTTTGTCTGTGTGAACAGCACCTACCAAGCTGACGGGGCCTAAAAAGTAAATAACTCAACACTATAAAGTACATTTGTATTCACACRCGCCTCATTTTTCCAAGGAGTAATCAAGAGTATTATGCTACCTATGGTCAAAATGATTAGTCACGTTTCCAAAGATTAATTCACATGTTCTTTTGTTTAATGCGTATGAACTGATTTAATGGCTGCTTATGAACTGAGCTAACAGTCATTTTGAGAAACAGATGTCCAATGCAGTTTCAAGCATTAAGAGTGCTTTTATTCATATCCTTAGGAGAAAAAGGGCTACAGTCTACAGTAATAACACTAATGAATCAAAGTGCTCAGCTGCCCAACAGGGTTTTGACAGAAACCAGCTTTTCCTCAAAGGAACTTTTTTTTAGGACTCTGGGACGGTGCACAACTGGTAATAGGCATGCTTAACATGTAAGCATGTACTTTGCTGGAGCCAAAATACTGAATTAAGCCCTATCTGCAATGAGACAAACAATGTGAGGCTTTTGTGCATGTGCTGAAACTAACTGCGCAAAMCCAGGAAAGTTGGTAGAGATCCTCATGATTTTCTACAAATAAATATTAGGAAGTTGGAGTGTTTCTGGTGTTACTTTGTGCCACTGAAGGCAGAACAGGTTGACTGCCCTAAACCTGATAGATTACTGCGGGTGGCTGGCGGGGCTAGGATAAAAGAGAAGAGCAAGCTACTAGGAARGCAGCCAGTGGCTGCAAATCTATGGTAAATAAACAGCACATTCCTCTTCTGCATGAAGCCATTAGAGCCTGCGTCAGACTCGAACGTCCTAATGTCAGCTGGGTGCAAATCTGATGGCCTGGGGTTCTGCAGCGCTTCCCATGCAAAGCAGATTTGGAACAACTTGCCATGCCCTGACAGAGCACTTCTGTCAAGTTCCTGAGGAGCCCCTAATGCTCCAGTTATTCACAGGGCCCTTGCAACGTACCACGGGTTTACTATTTAATGGTCTGATGTGTACAGTGCAGGATATGATTACACACAAGCCTGGCTCCCATCAACCAGCACCTCGTAATCGTTAACATATTTATCCTCGTGGGCCTCAAGAAGATGACATTGTTATTAGTCCCGTTTTATAGATTCAGAGCTGAGGCTCAATAGCTAAATGACTTGCCTTAGATTGCACAAGATTTACACTAAAGGACAGAAGAGAGCTCCAGCTTCACCAAGCCCAAGCAAGGATGGTACCCAAAGAGCAAGATCTACRTGCAGAGTTGTCCTCCATTTCAGGCACCCAACCACAAGCCCTACAAAATCACTCCATCCACACTAAATGTTGTGCCTTTCATGTCTTAGCCTTTGCCACCACGGGTATGTGTAGAGAATGTGGATATTCACTGCATGTAAAAGCTGAACTTCTCAGTTATTTCCCTCGATAGCTGTGGCAGATGAGAGAACCAAGACTCTCATCAAGACTCTTGATCAAGATCCAAGATGTCCACGTACTAAGCAGCAGGTGTCCAATATTGCTCAAATGCAGATGTGCAGAGACAGTGTGCTGAAGACAGACCAAACCTAGCACGGCTCTTTCGAGCCATGTATATGTATCACACTGGGCTGGAAAAGCTGTGGACTGGTGTTAGTCATAGAAAGGGTAGCAAATCAGGCCTCATTTAACTACAGACTAGTTCGAGGTTGCAGGTAAACATCTTCCCAGCACAGGCTGCTCCTCCCAGTAAGGCCACTCTGCTAAACAAATTCCATTACATCTGCAGTGTGCATCGAGGGGGAAGGAAAAAAGGAAACTACAAAGAGAGACAGACCCTTTCCAAACTCTGGTTAGTCAGTAAGGTGAGAGGAAGGTGGTGTCAGGAAACACTGCTGTTCAAGTTGAGACCTTTCCTATTGCTCAGATGCTAACTAGCACCAGATTGACTGCAGGCAAGACACACAGTGGTCTGATAACTCCCTTTCCTTAATTGAATTGCTATTATGGAGAGACAGGCTATCAGTTACCACTGTGGTAACCATAGACCACAGAGCCAAGTATTTATCTTCGAGGAGCAAACACTGGGAACCTGCCTTCCCTCCCATTAAAGCTTCAGGGCAGGTGGGTTCACAGCTGGGACAGGTAGGAGAGATTTGCTGTAAAAGTCACTATGCAAACACAAAGCTTCAAATTTGACCTGCCTTCTTCTGTCTCGGAACCGAAAAACCCAGGTAAATATTTGTGCATCTGCCATCTCTGACCTCTGCTAACATTTCAGCACTCTGTCTTGGGCCTATCTCTGTTACCTTCCCCTGGATAATACAGGGCTCTCTTATYTGAGCAGAGACTGCCTCCCAGCCATAGGGCTTGCCCAGGAGCCACCTCCCTGCCCCGAGGAGCACCCCAAATACCTCTGGTTGCCCCAAACAAATGGGAACATAGAACCTTTTACCAGGCATGCAGATTCATGCAGGGGCCCTGTAACCCTGAGGAACCCTGTTCAATACYTCCCAGCCTCCTAAGGCTGGGTGTGATTTTTGCATATCACACAATATCATTTTAATTTTTCCAGTGGGACTAACCTTTAGGCAGAAAAGTACTACTCAGAATCCGAGTCCGGTCAGAATCTGGCTCCATGAGATTACTACGTGGCAAAAATCAGATTATTTTTAAAACCGTAATAAAGCCATTTGAGATGTTGTTGAAAAATACCACTACCTCATATTATTTACTAGTACATTGCATCTGCAATTGACATTATACTTCCCCCCAAAGGACCTGGTAACTCAAAAACATTCCCAAGYCAGCCAAACCAGAAGTTACACACACAAAAAAGGAACAGGAACGAACATCAAGGTCCTAACAAAGTACCTGGAATGTTTCTTTCTCACAGAATGTTTAAAGGAAGAATGAAACAGAGGAACTGATACAGAGCAGGATGCTGGGCCTGCCTAGCACTCCAGGAAAGAGCCTGACGATCTTTGTTCTTTGAACAAGAAAGCACAAGTGCTCACAGGAGACTAGGTAACCAAAAGAAACACCAACATGAAAGATTGCTGCAAAGACACGTGCATCTTTTTTAGATTTCTTCAGATTTAGGTGAAAACATTATAATTGATGGGAATAGCTTTCACTAGTAGCTGAAAAATAGCCTAATATAGGACGGGAGAAAAATCCACAGAACTAAAATGCAGACACAACAAATGACTGAGATCAGAAGTGATTGCCTATAGACTCAAAGTTAAAAATTACAAATGGGGAAATATCTACAGGGACACCTAGTCCCACTTTACTCCACTTACAGTCTGTAGACGAAAAGATACCAGGGTGGTATCGGCATATTATTAGTGCCAGTACTTGCCAGCTTGATCTAGACAAGATTAAAGTCACCTTTTCTAAAAACAAAACAAAACACTCTATAATATTTTAACCTAAATGTTTGTAATTATGAGTCTGAAAGCAAAATGCTTAGGCAAAAACATCAAACAGTGCTCTCTTCCACTTAGTTCTCCGAACAGCACAGTGCCGTTTGACCCAGTACATTTTACTGAGGTCAGACTGGACTGAGCCCTAACACTGCGAGCAGCAAGTCCTCTAGGACACAGTCAGAGCCACTCTGTGTCAGCAAGGTTTGCCCAACATCCACCTCAAAATATGCCCTCCTAAGTATTAGCCTATTAACCCAGCTTGAGCAACTCTTTTCCCTCTATTCTGATACTTTGCAAGTATTCACTGTTATCTCTCCTCTTCCCCGCCAAGTCTTTTTGCCACCCAGCTTTGTTCTTCACTCTGAGCTCTTTATAGTCTTCCTTCTACTGTCATCTGAGAGTGCAGAATTAAACTTACGGTGCTCGGTCATGGTTCAACCCATTCTGTCTTTGTGCATTTATTGGAGGTAGAACAGGCTTGCTGTTAATCTCAAGCCCTCTCCGCAAAGTCTCCCTGATTTGCTCCGTATCTGCAAAGAGAATTTAACACCATTTATTGTACCCCAAAACATCACACACAAAGGTCCCAATAAAAGGCCTGCTCCTATGGTGTGCTTCATCCAACAATTCCCCTTCAAAAAGRAATCAAGGGATAAAATAAGGCTGAATTCCTAATGGCTCTTCTTGGAGCTTGGAAGTTATTTCACTGCTCTCTCGGGCTGCTGTTATGTCAGGCAAAAAGAGCTGGAATTTTTGCACTCCTGATGAGGAGATTCTGAGTAGTTCTGTATTCCTTTCATAAATGAGGTGTTTGCTGCTTCTGCAGCTCTTGCAGAACCCCATGACACTTGCAGTGTTCGTGATGGGAGTAGGCATAACGGGAGTCTACTCCTTTACCAAATTAGTGCAAGAGGGTCCCTGAGTTCCTGCACTTGGCTTTGCAAATCTGTCAATTAATTTATAAAAATATCCACCAGAGAAAGGAATTTTATGCAGGGTAAGCTTCATCCGCAAGCTGACATTTGAAAATAAACTGCAAATTATGCAGTTCAGATGYAGTCCATTCGCTACTTTTTCCATTTTCCTGTAATGCTTTATGGCCAACTACTTTAAAGCATACTTGTGTCCCAACTTTTTTAGACTTTTCTTTTGAGAAATGTGAAAATCAGGTGCAGAGCAAAATATCCAAGCTGTTTCAGAATCATCTGAAGGAAAGGCAAATATGACTGTGTAGACCTCTCAGGTTTTTCGTTTGTGGGTTTGGGGGAGAACAATGTTCTAGTCTTTTTAGATCCACTGCAGTTCAAGATTTTTGTGTAGAAACCAGATGGAATGCTAGACTTTTTTTTTTAAAAAAATATTTTTTCCTATAAAATAATTAAAAATATATCATTCCTATGGAAACCATCACTAATTTCTCACTAATTTCTCACTAATTTTGAAAACCTCAAACATTTAAATTTTACATTGCTTGACTAGTTTGAAATCTAAGATGGCTAATTTCAAGTGTGCGTAATGGTTGTGACATCTGCAGCCCAAGGTGACATCTCACTGCAAGGGGATCTCCGCTGCACTCAGTTTCTTCTTTCCAGAGTTTTATATTTGCAAGTACCACTTGGGTTTAGCGCAGTAACATCAGTATCAGTCTGACCTAACACCCAGGAAATGACCATGTTAAGAAGTAAACATAGCCTGTGAAAATGCAGCTGCTCCACCTTGCAGGAATTTAAGGTCCTGGTTTTACCTGGAGCTTGGTTTAATTTGGGAGATTTAGATTAGGAATAGATGAAAAACTGCAAGTTGAGACAAAACAACGCAAAGATCTCTCTCACTCTCCCCCACCTCCTTTCCCATCTTCTTGCAGAAGCCATAGCAGCCTCCTCCTCACCTTTCCCGGAGAGCCGCCGCGGCTGGCTTCCAATGCAGATGCTCCTGCTGTCCTCGTCGTCCTCCGGGGGCCGGCTCAGATCGTCCCAGGCACACTTGGCACTCACGCCGCTCARGTTGGAGCCATCTGTCTCGATTCCTTTGTCGACTCGCTCCTGCTTGAAAAGATCCCAAACCCCGACACCTTTTTGCGTGCGGCTTAGACACGAGCTGGAAGCCCTCTGCCTTCAGCAGCCCTTCCACATCCCTGCTCTGCCACCCATTCCCAATCCCAACCCGGGCCCCCGCTATGAGCGGTTGTGGCACGAAGCTGAATTAGGGAGCTGAGCTGGACCAAGCCTTTCTTTTGGGTAGCACATTGATTTCAATCCCTATCCCATTCCCACTGTTTCACTGCACRGTCACTGCTGGCACCAAGCAGGGAATGCCAGAGGTGGAAGTGATCGACCTGGCACTTTTTTSAGGATCAGCCCCAGCTAGTACCAGCTTGAAGCATTTATGGCACTGCAGTGCACGGCTCCTCTATGAGCCCAGCWTGGCAACTTACCTGTTTTGTGGCAGTGATAAACTCTCAAATAACTAAACTTAAGATCCCTTTCCAAACTTACCAAGAGTTCCAGAATAAAAATAGTTTACCGAGCGGCTCGCTGCTCACAACACTTCATTACTTGCCAACAGACTGGACAACTCCTGCTTTGCAGTGTACTGCTACGTTGACTACAAGCGTGCAGGGGAGACAAGATCCACGTGCAGATGTCAAAGCCTTTGCACAGCTTTCTCTATTGGCCAAATGTACAAACTCCCTCCCTGGAGGGTTGGGATTTCCAAGCACGTAACCACTATTTGAGGCTAGGAACGTGTTTGCACACAAGCAGCTGGATATTCTTAGACACCGGGTGTTTTTTCAAGGGCAAAAGTATCTGCTGTCAGCAAGCCTCTGCCTTAAGCCACGGCCAAAGCTTCCCCAGGACTCCTACCTGCTAACAGGAACAGGCATTAATCTGAATTTCCACCTATTTCCCACAAGAGGGTAATGTTGAGCCGGACAAACCTAGAGCTGAGCTGTGCAGGGGAAGGGCTGCTTTAACAGTTACCTCTCAGCTGGCACTGAATAAATCAGGCTCATTTTACCCTCTACAGAAGGGGTGTCACTTCTAGCACCCATCGGTGACACTAGCAAGGTCTCCGCGCACTGCAGACATCGGGGCCACCTCAAGGTAAGTGATACCTTCGGCAAGGCAGACTTTAAAGATCTGAAGGAAAAGCAGAGCAGTTCTCTGCATGCTGCATGTGGCACGAGAGGCTCTCGCTCGTTATTCCCACTCTCCAGTTTGGCCTTGCCACCAAAATCAAGAGACTGTGGGAGCCTTCAGTGCTCTGCATCCTAAGGAGCAATCTCCATACTAATCTCCACACATGCTCCTTCCCAGCCTGGCTGTACCTTGCACAGAGCTTTGGCTGCTCCTGTGACAAGTCAAGAGAAACTCTGAGCAGCAAAAGATAAGCACAGGGACCCGGGGCGTGGTTGCAGAGCACTCCATGCTGATCTAATTCACAGTGGCTGCAGTCCCACCCTCCCCCATGTGCTCCTACACCTTCCCCTGGGCCAAATTCATCCTTTTTTTT